CATCCAGTGGTGCCTGTTACCACCGTGTTTCCGTCCAGTGGTTACTGTTACGGCCTGGTTACTGTTACCGCCTGGTTACCGTCCAGTGGTTACTGTTACCGCCTGGTGTGTTCGTGGTCTACAGGTGGTCGTCAGCGACCGTTCTGTCCTCCACTTCCTGCAGGGCGGCGATCTGCTGCTGGTCACTGTGAGAAGTGACTGCAGCTGCAGATGTAACACAGGTGATTATCTGTAACGGTGTTACATTACTGCAGACGGAGGCGGAGACATGAAGACGATGGGTGATGAAGAGTGACCTAATTATTTTAATCACTCATTCCAGCTGTCAGCGTTAACGATGGTTTACCTTTGATTTGTTACCGCTAAACAGGGCTCGTTATGTTAATGAGACGCTATGGCGACCACGTCAAGTTTCACTCACGCTATACATCGTATTGTCGTTCTCACGTACAGTGTCTTCATCCACGTGAGGTGGACGGGGCGTCTGTTCCCCCGCAAGACTGCCATTAGTCTTCAGTCTACGTCAACCAGTCACCGAGGCTAATAATTATAACTGTATGGTTGTTTTTATCGACAAAACCAAGTGTTGACAGACAGAACTGAGCATCACGTCAACAAAAAAAATGAAGGATTCAACAAACAGTCAGATTCAAGTCAACAAAGAATGAAAAAGTTTAAAAAGTTTAGACCAGAAAATAAAAACTTTTTTTAACAAAAAAACAAAAAGATTAGCTAATGGTTAGCTAAGAAGGGGGTAAGTTAAATGTTAGCATACAAAAAAAACTCCTCGAGATGACAATTCAAGAAGAAAAATCAAAATAAATCTGCTTGAGCTTTTTTATGTGATGACACAGAGATTAAAGTTGTTGTTGTTTAAGAAATCATCAGGTCATGTAGTGAGTCAAAGCAGGAGAATCATTTGTGGTGCATCAGCATCAGCATCAGCATCAAAATTAGCATTAGCATCAGCATCAGCATTAGCATTAGCATTAGCACTGCTCAGAGAGCCGTAGAACTGAGCCTGTTGGTCGTGGTGGCGCCGTGCTGCGGCAGAACAAAGCGAGCATCAGCATCAGCATCAGCATTAGCATTAGCATCAGCATCAGCATCAGCATTAGCATTAGCATTAGCACTGCTCAGAGAGCCGTAGAACTGAGCCTGTTGGTCGTGGTGGCGCCGTGCTGCGGCAGAACAAAGCGGTGGGTCAAAGGTCAACATTCTCAGCTTTAATCCGTCGTTAACGTGAAGGAACTCTGACTATTGTTCAGTGTCGTGGGCGGAACTGCTGGTTCAATTACCTCCTATGGAACTAGGACGCGGACGAGTTGTTCTGTTTCAGCCAATCACACTGTCCTCTCACTGACGTGACGTCATCACCAATGAGGCGTGGGACAGCCATAATTCTAGATTTTAAAAAAAATGAAATTAACATTTGTTTTTTTAAAGTCAGGACAATTTTGTGCATCGATAATAATGTACGGGATTTCAGAAAGTTCGCCACCACAACGAAGCCGAACGCGGCGGCTGTGGTAGCATTAGCAGTTAGCACGGAGGCTACGATGTCGCTGGAGCTGCTCTTTTCATAGCTCAGTGTTTCTGGTCTTCAGTTAGAATGATGTAAACAGATATTTGGTTGAAATAGTACTGAGTTAGTAGTGGTGGTTTATAATAATTATACCAATAAGTAGTGAAGTATGAATGTTTATGATGATAGTTTATTTATTAAACAAACGCTCAGACTCTTGTGGACTGACCAGGAAAAAAAAGAAAAAAAAAAAAAAAGACCACAACTGAGGTGGAGAACAGTTCTTCATGGTTCCAAACCATGTGACCAAAGTTCAGGCCTGAGTCGGACCATGAAAACAGAAACACAATGTTGTTGTAGCATTCACCACATCACAGTCTTTATTTGAGGAATGTGAGCAAATAAACATTCATGGTTCTCACACACACACACACACACACACACACAGAGCAGGGTTGAAGTTAACTGGTGAGAAAATCAAAACAAAAACCTCTGGACCAATCAGAGAAAAGACTCGGATTTTAAAATTGAAAATAAAAAAAGAAAGTCACTGATAAAAGTGTACAGACTGGTACTGGACCGCACGGAAACACAGACACATGAAAGATGTCACATGGTCCAGGTGGTGAGGACCAGGTGAAGTGGAGCAGGGACTGGAACTGTTCACTCTTTATTTATTATCAACCAACATTTAGACTTTTAATCACTGTTTGATCAGAACACACTGACGCCGTCTGACCTCTGACCTTCACTACAGACACTGGTACTTCCTGTCGTCTCCTGACTCACTTCCTGTCTTGTTTACAGGTGGCTCAATCATGGGTTCACTGCGACTCCTGACACACGTTTGGACCAACTGACGACAGCAGACTCTCAACAACTGGGGATTGTGGGTAAAAAAAATAAATCCTGCTGCGTGTCCTCAGGACTACACCTCGGTGTTCAGCTGCAGCGACCGGAATGTTGACAACGTGGATCAACTCTCTGAACCAGATTAAAACCCAGACTAGTAATCCTGGATTATCCGATTGGATTTTCTTCCACATTTGGACGGAGGAACCTGTCCGTCTGATCGCCTGTTGTTGTTGTGACAGCAGTGAGCCTGATGGTGGCGCTCTCAGCCCAGACCGCTGCACAGTCATCTGTTTTGATTTTCTTCCAGCTCAGTTTTCAGTTCAAACCCAGACACTTGATTCTTTATCGCACGGTAGAAAATTAAAAATTAAAAAAAAAAAAAAGTTCCCGGCCCACGCCCGGGATGTGACCCACACAGAAACAGTTGTCAGGTGTCGCAGTCTGTCCAAACTACAGAAAAAAAGACAAACATTTCCACTGAACCCCTCAGTTCTTTTTAACCTTTGACCCCCCCCCCCCCTCTCTCTCTCTCCCTCTCTCTCTCCGCTGCGTCTCACTCGTACTCTGCGATCAGGACCATCATTCCCACGCCGAAGAGCAGGGCCAGGATCTCCAGCAACGATTGGCCGAAACTGGAGCGACCGGCCAGCAGCTCTGGGAGCACCGTCACCGTGGCGATGTACACAAAGCCGCCGGCCGTGAAGGGCAGTATCCAGGCCGTGGCTGCAGCTCCGACGCCTTCAGCCAATAAGGAGCAAGTGGTTCCAGCCAGAGCTCCGAGGGCAGTGAGCAGCTGCAGACACATGGCCTGGAGGAGGAGGGCAGTACATCATCATCATCATCATCATCGTCATCGTCATCGTCATCGTCATCATCATCATCATCGTCATCATCATCATCGCCCCTGTATCGTGATACGTATCGCTGACAGTTTCTTGCCAGACTCTGTTCAGTTAATTCTGTCTTAGTTCTCACTCAAATCACTGCAGCTGTCCTTCCTGATCCTGTTCTACACGGCTATGATGGGGAGACAGATGGGGGAGACAGATGGTGGAGACAGATGGGGGAGACAGATGGTGGAGACAGATGGGGGAGACAGATGGGGAGACAGATGGGGGAGACAGATGGGGGGAAACAGATGGGGGAGACAGATGGGGGAAACAGATGGGGGGAGACAGATGGGGGGAGACAGATGGGGGGAGACAGATGGGGGAGACAGATGGTGGAGACAGATGGGGGAGACAGATGGGGAAGTGGGGGGGCAGATGACTGAAGGCGTCCATTACCTTCCTCTTGGTGCAGCCTGATTGGACGAGGATGGCAAAGTCTCCGATCTCGTGCGGGACCTCGTGCAGCAGGATGGTGAGAGTGGTGACGGCGCCCACTGCAGGGCCAACCAGGAACGAAGCGCCGATAGCCAGACCGTCGGTGAAATTGTGAGTGAAGTCTGCGGCCAAGTTGAGGTAACCCGACACCTTGATGTCTACAGAGAAGAGAAGAAGTGACCGGAGAGGGGATCAAAGCCGTGGCAGATCAAAGGCTCGTCTGTAAAGTGGGTCAGTCACCGAGTTCACTGCAGGTAAAGGAGCGTTACACACATTCAACCAGCAGGCCAACAGTCAAACCTGCCTGACTCGCATTAGCGACTGAACCCAGGCCAACACACAGGGACGCCAAACTAACGCCAAACAATTCAGATTACCCACAATCCACCCGTCTTTTCTGATTGCAGCCATTTGAGAGTCATTTTCTAATTAATTTGCTGCTTCACAGCGTCTCACTGACGGTGTGAAAGCTGATACGTTTGCTGAGGTCGCCGCCACTGCTCCAAATACATGACCGTGTCACCCACATCCTGCTGCGCTAACTCACAGCTAACAGTTAGCTTTTAGTTTTGTTTTAGACTTCCTGCAGGTCCTGGGACCTGGTACTGAGACCTGGTCCTGGGACCAGCACTGACCTGACAACCAACAAGCTTGGAACTCCACTGGTTCACTGTCTCGTGGTTCCAAGCTAATGTCTTGTTAGCCCCAGCTAAGGTTAAGGTTGAACTGTGTTGATACTGGTACTGACTGAAAGGTTCTTCAGCTGATTGTTCTGACGGGGGTCAAAGAGTCAGGTGTAAACCCCGGACACCACCACAGTGGAGCACAGACCCACTGAGGACCTGGTACCAGGTGAGCTGCCAGAACGCTAACCAGAGTATTTGATATATCAGATGATCAACCTGAGAGATAAACATAAAATAAACCCAACTACAGATGTGTTTCCACCTTCAGGAACCGTTCTCATTCCTACACTGCTGGGTTTTGGTACCGTTTCTTCTACTGGTCCCGTGGTGAGAAACCTGGAACGGTTCCTTGTAAACGAGGAGCTGCGTCAGGACCAGGGTGGAGGCTGGCAATAAAACACTTTGTTTCTGCGGGGGCAGCGTGATGCCGGTGGCGGAACATTTTATTCCAATCATATCTGACAGACGCCGCCAACAGTTAATGACAGACGCCAACAGACATATGGCTGTGGTTTGTCTTTGAAGTGTTGTCGAGTCACAGCAGCTCCAGGTCAACACCCACAGCAGGAGTGGAACCTGTCTGGACAAGTCCACTCTTCAGAGACACTGTCATGACGCAGGTGCCACCAGGTGGCAGCAGAAGGCTGATTTATCCTTGTCTCTAGCTGCTGTTCCAATACACAGTGATGCTAAAGGTTGACACGTCTCCAGGAGACGGTGGACTCATCAGACGGTGGGACATTGTTTGTCCTCTTGGGTCCAGGCCAAATGTCAAACATTTTAGACCAAAACCAGGACCTGAAAAACACATCTGATCTATCAGCCTGTGGACTGATACTGGTCCACAGGTTAATAAGTACCAGGTAAAAGACCTGATGATAGACTGGTCCACTAATAACAAAGCTAGGATAGATAGATTTTTAATTTGAGATTTTATTATTTTATACCTTAATTACATTACTACTATAATTGACATACTATTACTATAATTTTTTGTGAGTAAAAATATTATATTATATATTTTTTAAATGTTTAGTAGGAAATATTATATTTTTTACTCACAGCTGTTAATGACAACATTCATCAACTTTTCCACAGCCTCGTAGTGATGTCAAACAGCCACATGGTGGCAGCAGACGACATTAAATGACTTTCTTTTCAACTACTTGTTAAGTCATTTTTGTCATTTTTCATTTTCTGTGAATATTAAAGGATTAATGTCACAACTTTAAACCATTTACTGTTAATATAATGAGATAAATCAGCTCTGAGAATGACGTGTTGTTGTTGTTGTTGTTGTTAAAACTAACAGCTGAACTGATGTTGACCTGCTGCGGCCGACCACTTCAGTCGGTGCACTCCTGTTTGTGTCCACAAGAGGGCAGCAATCAACAGCGTTGTGTTTTTTTTTCTTACCCGTATTCTCTTCTTTTTTTGGTTTCTTCTTGTCTTTACTCCGCCTCTCCTCCTTCTTTGTCTCCTCCTCCTCCTCTTCCTCCTCTCCATCACTCTGCTTTTCTTTAGAAGCAGCTGAAAATATGTCAAAAATCACACCGACTGCTGACCAGTTCTCACAGTGGTTCTTGTAATAGTTCCTACAAATGAAAACAGTTACAGGCGCTGTGTTCCTGGTACTAGTTACAACTTGGAATTGTGCTCTGTACTACTTGTAGTATTTTTGGTACTGCATGTAGCTCCTAGAACTTCCTTGGATGACTTGGACCATGGTCCTGGTACCGTCTCTGGTCTGTGCTTCTACCACTTGACCTTGGTACTAGTCTCTACACTGGAACTATTAATGGCACCTGGTTGTGTCCCTGGTTTCTGGTATTGGTATGGTACACAGAGACGTCCTGCTGGAGGATGTGGCGAGTGAATACTTGTCAGTACTTCATTCTAATCTTAGTACTCTGCTGCAGAAACACCTGTCAATCATTCAAATGTGTGGTACCGTGTGAGTGGCCGTGACCGTGGCCTCCCTTCAACAGACGCACAAACTTCTCCACCACCAGGAAGGCGATGATGCCGCAGAGAACCCACAGACCCACGGACATCATGTGACCGTGGGCGGCCCCTGGTGGAGGACCAAGACAGATGTGATCAGTACTCCTCGTCTAATCTTCACATACGAAATGTCACAACATGTACTACAGTACAGTACACACGTACTGTATGTCCTGTACTGTAGTACATGTTAGCGTCCATCTTGTTGATGATGATGACTGTAACTGTAAACATGTGTCACCCTCTCACCCCCTCCAACTGGGAGGCGTTACCTTCTATACCAATAAAAGAGAAAGTTACTGCACACCGTGGGAGTGGCCGTGGTCATGTGACTCTTCGCTGCTGTGGGAGTGTCCGTGATCTTCTCCCTCGTGATGAGAGTGAGGTTCTGTGGGAGGAACCAAAACAAGAGAACATTAAAGTTCAACTGTGAACCAAGGATGAAGCAAATATTTGGCCACCGGAAACATTTCGGCACAAAAACGTATTTTGGGTTTTGGTCCAGAACAGGATGTTGTGACGACGCGTCCAGCATGGTGAGATCTGTTCAGTGAGTGTACTTGATCTGCACCATGAAGATGGAATGAAGCAACCGCACGAGAAACCAAGCACTGCAGAAATCATTCAGCAGTGGTACTTGTTCTGAATGTACTCTGTCGTAGTAGTACTACTGAGGAAAACTGCACTGTGTTTTTATGAGAGAAAATATTTCATTCTAGTCACGGACACATCATTCACAGTGACCCTGACAACAGATTTGGATTATTTTATAATTGACGTATTCTTTGAACCTTGAATATTTATTCATGCAGTTGCGTCTCGCTCTGATTTCCTCAGTTTTGTTTTCAGTCTACGTTTGACATGTGTTTAATCCTTTGATGTATTTCACTGTTCGTCGATGACATCACCCTCGGCCGCGGACCTCCCCTCACCTAAGGCGTGTGGAATCAGATGGAGGAAGGCATCTCCCAGCAGTCCACCGGAGGCAAAGCTGAGCAGCACTTTGAGCAGGTTCTGGTGCTGGTCGCTGTTGGACTGGACCGGGATCAGGAACAGGATCAGGAAAGGAGCTGCACTGATCAGCAGCGTAGCTCCGACAGCCTGCGAAGAAAAAACAGGAGAAGGTTTCAACCAGAAAATCATCAACAGACGAGGACGATCACAGACCTGCGTCTGGATCCTGTGACCCGTCGTAGATCACAGAGAAACAACGCGGCACCACAGCAACGTCTGTCAGTGTGGGACGACACTACTTCACATTCAGTTGATGCACAGTCAGATCTGAACCCACCTGCATCCAGAGCTCCACTGTGTCCTTCTTCTCTCCCTCTGACTCCCTCCTCACCCTCTCCCCTCCATGTGAGCTCACACTCTCCTTATGCACTCGAACAACTTCCTCATGTGAGTGGGCGTGTCCGTGGTCATGAGAGTGGGCGTGGTCATGCCCGTGGTCATGAGAGTGGGCGTGGTCATGCTCCTGTCCGTGGTCGTGTCCGTGGTCATGTCCGTGGTCATGTCCGTGGTCGTGGTCATGCTCCTGTCCGTGGTCATGTCCGTGGTCATGTCCGTGGTCGTGTCCGTGTCCGTGGTCGTGCTCCCCCCCAGGCTGGTTGGCCTCAGCGCTCCACTTGCTGGCTCCATGAAACATCTTCACCTGAGAGCCGTGAGAGTGACCGTGGTGGTCATCATCACCATGAGAATGTCCATGATGGTGACCATGGTGGTGACCGTGGTGATGGTGACCGTGGCCGTGGTCACCGTGGGAATGGCTGTGAGCGACAGCGGGACGGCAGACCAACAGCAGGAACACAGACGTGGCCAGTGTCAGTGCCAGCAGACGAACACAGGCCATGTTCTTTATCCCTACAAACACAGAGAATTCAGTGTAACAATCCAGCCAATCAGGCAGCTCTTTAACCAGTTTTATGTACAGCTGTGTTCCAAATATATTGTGCTATATATATATATATATGAGAAAATATAACAGATAATCTCGCCAAATCTTTAGATTCAACTCAAATCCAAACTTTATTTTTTCAGATTCTCTCTATAAACTAATTTAAATCAAGGTTTGAACTTTGACCTGAGGAAACTAAAGAACCGAGTCTGGACTTGGGGGAAACATCTGTGATGCTAACACAGCAAGAGAAGAACCAACACAATTAGCAGTTGCATCAGATTAAAAATGTTTAGAGAAAACCGTATGAACGGTCGTCTTTCTGTTCAAAAAGTCTTTCTATGAAAATAAATAAAATATTTTCTTTAAAAAAAATAGTCATCACTCACTGTAATATTACTGATTATTGAACCTTTCCGTACTGTTCATCATTGATCATCGCTCTGCTCTGCTAACTCACTCTTAGCATCCAGACTGTGATTTAGTTTTGGTTTTGTTGTGTTTTTGCTTCATAGAGAGTGAGAGTAAGAATAATCTCCTATCTTCAGTAAAGTTTCACCTCTAATCTGACAGTAAATTGATCAATAAAGCCATAACCAAACAGTGTACACAGTCACAATAAGTTTTTGATGAAACTTGTTTAGCTAACAGGCTAACAGGCTAAACAAACCGGCTAACGAGATATTGCGGTAGGAAAACATCATAAACACACTAAAAACGAACAACAATTAATATTTGCCTGAATTCGGAAGACCTCCTCGGTTGAGTTATTTCGTATCCTGCTTCAAATCTGCTATAATCCCCTCAGAGTGAGATGATGCTACACGTAGCAGTGTATCAGACGTGGCACTGGGTCAGAACGCAGCTAAGCAGAATCTCGCGAGAGTAATATCTGGACTTCGCTTAACAAAACGGTGATATATATCGCGAGACTGAAGTAAACCTGAGCTGGGTGTGTGGCGGGAGGGAGTACAGGATATTGAGCTGGGTGTGTGGCGGGAGGGAGTAGCATCCTGCTGGGAAACAGGATATGGATCCTGGAAAGTTGTTCAAAAAGCGAAGTACAAATCAGTCTATAACAAATATATTACCGTGAGTTTAATGCTCCTGAACCACAGAAGTTTTAATTTTATTTAAAAAATATTCTCAAAGAATAACCGATAACTAATCTATGTTCAGTATTTTTAATCGATGTTCTGTTGAAATTATCGGGATAGTTCACCCAGTGGCCAGATCGGGTAGTAACCACAAAACTATTTTTCTTTTCCTTGTTTTTAACATGTACTTTCTTGTATTTTTGTCTGACATTGACGTTTGACTGTGATATTTTCAGTCGAAAACCTCACTGGAGCTGGAGAAATAAACCCGACCATCACTGTCCTAGTGAAAGTGAAACGAGTAGATCAAAGCCAACAGAAAGTTCCAGAAATCAGATGATTCAGCTTTAATTCTCCTGAACTGAGTGAACTGCTGAAGGAAGAGAAACTGAACTCCACTGTTGATGTTTGGAGGTCTGCTGTTCTTCTTCATGACCTGGACCATTCTCCACTTTCATGCTGTGTGTGTGTGTGTGTGTGTGTCCAGTGGGACGTGACCTGGACCCTGACCCCTGGATTGAGACACACCTGCTGTTGTTGTTGTTTTATTGACAGGATCAAAGTTGAACTTTTATGATGAATAATAAAGATGGTGTGTGTGTGTGTGTGTGTGTGTGTTCATCTGATGTTGATCTGGTGACTGAACTGTTACTTCGTCCTGGTACCGATTAAAACACCAACATGACGTCATCAGTGTTGTTTATGTTCACATTTATAAAAACACCAACATTTACCAAACAAAAA